GCCGCGCGCTCAATCCACTCAGCGCGCTCTGCTTATCAGCTCGCGCACATCCACTATACAGGCGTGGATATTGAATGTTTAACATTATATTAATTACTTACATGTACTTCATAGACATCCTTAATCTCTAATAACTCCATTCTACTCTCTGTTGTTCTGTTGTCGGTGTTTCTTTTTCTGGACACAGCTCTATTCACACGCTGTGTGGTATCGGCTTTTGGTATCAGGGCATTTTTACGAGTACAGGAGCACAGTATCGGTACCGATACCAGTATCGGTATCGGTGCATCCCTAATGAGTATATATCATTTTTTCATGAACTAATTTGGGGGAAAATTGCTAGTGAAAAACAGCTAATGAAAGTAATTAAACCTGCAGAAGGTAAAAGAATCTGAGATACATGATGAGTTTTGAGATTTGAGATGCAAATCTGGTCTGGTATGGATATAAATGACTCATTTTATATATTCAGGTTGAAGATCATTACATTTGATTATAAAAACTTTGTAGCAACCTTGTAAACATGAACATGGCACGCTGCTTCTGAACAGCCGTCTAACCTCATGGCTACGACTTTTCCACTATCTTGTTATGAATATTGCAAGTTCTTATGTTTTAGATATTTTCTCCACTTGCTCTGTTTCCAGCTTCATCCTCAAGGACTGTGCAAGAGACAAATGAAGAGTTTAAGGCCATGACGGGAACCATTCACTTGGGGCGAAAACTTATCCTGAAATATAATCGGCGTGAACTGACCGACAAACTGCTGATCTTTTTAGCTCTTGCTCTGTTTCTGGCTACAGTGCTCTACATCCTGAAAAAGAGACTCTTCCCCTTCATTTAGTGGAAAAGGGAACTGTGTCAACTTAACACTGCTCTCCAGAAATCATTCTGTGAATGTTACAACCCAAATGAGACCCACAGTTCTTAAACCAGTAGTTCTTTCAAAAGGAGAATTTTGTCACCGTTTCCCCACCATAAAGTGTGAGCAAGTGATGACAAGCTTCAAAATTCTCTGGGGACACAATAAGGGAGGATACTGAAGTGCTGTTAAAAATCTCAATTATCAGGATCACTAAACAGAAAATCAGGAAGGAATGAAATTTTCCTACATTAGTCTTACTGATTGCTTTGGCATATTCAGTAGTATATTTTCTTAACAACGTAGTTGTTTGTACAATAATAAAATGTTTTGATCTCAGGTTAGTTCTGTAATATTCCAGTAACCTGATGGACATTGCATAAACTTCAAAACAACCTTAAAGATGTTTATGCCTTATGAACAATTGCAATTAATTATAATCTGCATAACTGAAGGTTATGCTTTATATGCACTACAGATGCACTAAACCTTTTTTTATTTTTTATAAAGAAGTCTCTTATGCTCTCCAAGGCGGCATTTATTTTACTCAAGAATACAGTAATAAACAGTAATATTGTGAAATATTATAAAAATTTTAAAGGAATGTTTTCTATGATTATCAGTGTTGAACACAGTTTTTGCTGCTTAATATTTTTTCTGTGGAACCATAATACACTCCTATTAAAAAGTTTGATGCATTTTTTCAAGAAATTAATACTTTCATTCAGCAAGGATGCATTAAATTGATGACAGTGAATGCATCCTTTCTGAATTTAAAATAAATAGACTTTTTTCAACACTGATGATAATAAGAAACGTTTCTTGAGCAGATCATGTGACACTGAAGACTGCAGTAATGATGCTGAAAATTCAGCTTTGATCACAGGAATAAAATAAATGTATTATATAAAATTGTTCTTTTCAATGACTTCACATATTACAATTTACTATATTTGTGATCCAATATATGCATCCTTAATAAGAGACTTGGAATATAAAAAAAAAAAAGTAATAATAATTATTCCAAACTTTTGACTGCAGTTTAAGTATCTGGCATATTTCATATTGTTTACAGCATCAGCAGTGACTCTCTAATTGATTGCTATTCTAGACATTCCAGTGAAAACAAGGTTTCTTGAGTTGAAAACCCCTGATTTAACTTGACTCCACGAATGGTTATTCTGCTTTAAAGATCTCAGAGCATGATTGTAGTCTGTTCACAACATGGAAGACGTTTGGGGCTGTTAGGGTCTTGCATGTTCTTCAGTGGGACTAACCACTAGGGGGTGTTGTGTCTCTGTTTTCATGTGAAATGTGTCTGGATGTGTTTTATGAAGTAGTCGACTATTCAGAACTGATCAGCTTTGTCCCTAATTCATTTACAGTACCGTTCAAAAGTTTAGAATGATTTTTTTTTTAATGTTTTTGAAAGAAGTCTCACACAGGTTGCATTTATTTGATCGAAAATACAGTAAATACAGTAAAATTGAGAACAACATATTAGAATGATTTCTGAATGACACTGAAGACTGGAGTAATGATGCTGAAAATTCAGTTTTGCATCACAGGAATAAACTACATTTTAAAATATATTCAAAACAGTAACATTTATAGAAAGCAGGAATTTTAAATTGCATTAACATTTCACATGTTACATTGTGTGTGTGTGTGTGTGTGTGTGAGAGAGAGAGAGAGAGACCCTGGACCACAAAACCAGTCATAAGAGTAAATTTTTCTAAATTGAGATGTATACATCATCTGAAAGCTGAATAAATAAGCTTTACATTGATGTATGGTTTGTTAGGCTCGGACAATATTTGGTCGAGATACAACTATTTGAAAATCTGGAATCTGAGGGTGCAAAAATATCTAAATATTGAGAAAATCACCTTTAAAGTTGTCCAAATGAAGTTCTTAGCAATGCATATTACTAATCAAAAATTAAGTTTTAATATATTTACAGTAGGAAATTTACTAAATATCTTCATGGAACATGATCTTTACTTAATATCCTAATGATTTTTGGCATAAAAGAAAAATCAATAATTTTGACCCATACAATGTATTGTTGGCATATATATATATATATATATAAGCAGCATTGGTGAGCATAAGAGACTTATTTCAGAAATATTAAAACATTGTAATTATTCTAAATTTTGTGTGTAGTGTATTATCTAATTTACTCATCTCGGACAGGTTTCATTTATTTAAATCACCACAGCTGCAAAAATTATGTAAATGCAAATGAGATCTAGAAATGCAGTCACTTTTATCTGTTTAGGTCCTTTATCTTTATGTCCGTTATTAATTATTATTATTATTAATTATCTTGTGGTATATTAATTACACCAAGATTTTGTTCTGTTGCAGTAGAGCTCTGCTTTTAAGTTTTGCTATGATACTGCAGTATGTCGAAATGATCCTCTGAGTGTGTGTGTGTGTGTGTGTGTGTGTGCGTGTTGCACATTGTGGTCTTGCCGCATTGGTTTCTGAGGGTAAAAAGTTACCCAAGTGCCGGGTGTTTAAGTATCTGGCATATTTCATATTGTTTACAGCATCAGCAGTGACTCTCTAATTGATTGCTATTCTAGACATTCCAGTGAAAACAAGGTTTCTTGAGTTGAAAACCCCTGATTTAACTTGACTCCACGAATGGTTATTCTGCTTTAAAGATCTCAGAGCATGATTGTAGTCTGTTCACAACATGGAAGACGTTTGGGGCTGTTAGGGTCTTGCATGTTCTTCAGTGGGACTAACCACTAGGGGGTGTTGTGTCTCTGTTTTCATGTGAAATGTGTCTGGATGTGTTTTATGAAGTAGTCGACTATTCAGAACTGATCAGCTTTGTCCCTAATTCATTTACAGTACCGTTCAAAAGTTTAGAATGATTTTTTTTTTAATGTTTTTGAAAGAAGTCTCACACAGGTTGCATTTATTTGATCGAAAATACAGTAAATACAGTAAAATTGAGAACAACATATTAGAATGATTTCTGAATGACACTGAAGACTGGAGTAATGATGCTGAAAATTCAGTTTTGCATCACAGGAATAAACTACATTTTAAAATATATTCAAAACAGTAACATTTATAGAAAGCAGGAATTTTAAATTGCATTAACATTTCACATGTTACATTGTGTGTGTGTGTGTGTGTGTGTGTGAGAGAGAGAGAGAGACCCTGGACCACAAAACCAGTCATAAGAGTAAATTTTTCTAAATTGAGATGTATACATCATCTGAAAGCTGAATAAATAAGCTTTACATTGATGTATGGTTTGTTAGGCTCGGACAATATTTGGTCGAGATACAACTATTTGAAAATCTGGAATCTGAGGGTGCAAAAATATCTAAATATTGAGAAAATCACCTTTAAAGTTGTCCAAATGAAGTTCTTAGCAATGCATATTACTAATCAAAAATTAAGTTTTAATATATTTACAGTAGGAAATTTACTAAATATCTTCATGGAACATGATCTTTACTTAATATCCTAATGATTTTTGGCATAAAAGAAAAATCGATAATTTTGACCCATACAATGTATTGTTGGATATTGCTACAAATATACCCCAGCGACATAA